GTTTTTGACACCGTGTCCACAGGCAATTCATAAAACGAGGTTTCCACAGCATCAATAGGTTCCTCGATTGTTCGAGTACACCTTTGATACTGCAGGCTTTGAATAGAATTATAGAATCCTAAGTCTAAAACATTAAAGTCTGGGCTATTCGGGGGTTGGTTGGTAACTGCAATTCCGGACACGCCGCGCGTCTCCAACATACTTGTCGTGAGGCATTTGTGTGGGCTGGCATTGTCTTGTTGGATTGTTAAGCCCGATCACTGTGTAGAGCGAGGGAACTTGGCCTTTATTGCCGGCACGACATTATTTAACACGTCACAATTGTGCCTTTCGCGCGGTTCTTGGAGTTGCGTTTTGCAGGCAATTTTTCGATAAAATGCCAAACGCCAATTTTGCCGTCAAATATGTTGCCGTTTAAGTCAACTCGAGGGCGGGCAATCGCCGCCAAAAACATAACTCTTGTTATAAATCGCTACGACTTCACAACACGAGCAGCCATAGCTTCATCCTCGTAGACGTAAAACTTCTTTTTCACCCTCGTCAAATAAAACCAGTTTTCGTCGATATGCACGAAATTATTTTTTGACAATGTGCATATTGTCAAATTTTCATTCAACGAAGGTCGAAGAAAAGAAATTGCGTACCACAGGCGCTCTTCAAGATTTCTTGGAGTAAAAAACGGCTTCACGTAACTTGTACGAGCCTTCAGCCGAGGACATTCTTGTATGTGTCGAAACACTGTCGTCCTTGGAATGTTGCACGCATGAGCAAGAGCTCTCATCGTCTGCCGCGAGGCCTGGGGCACTTGTCGTATCGCGTCATCGATGTCATCACTCGTGCGCGTTTTTTTGCGACCAGAATTCCCTAAAAAGTACATTTTTGGTAAATGAATAATCTTCAAATTCAATAATCATATAGATTGATAGAGGTATACCTCGGATTTTTGATGCAACATCGGCACAAATGTGGCCCGCTCGGATGGAGCTCCGTCCACGTGCCCATACGCGAGACACAGTGTCGGGGTGGCATTCGTGCTGCTTGGCAAGCTTACGATGGCGCCACGAGGCAGTGTGCCAGATGACGAGACGGCAAGCTGGCTCTCATAGATCGAGCGCCGCTCTTCAAGGTCAAGGTGGGTTTTGCCACCTTTCGGCCCACGGGGGTTGCGCGGGCGGTCGGCAATGACGGCGGTGGGCTGCGATGGCATGGTTCAGTAAAGCTTGATGGCTGTGTGCTGCGCGTGCTTGCTGAAAATGAGTTGTGATGACACGGCAATGTGTCAAAGTTTGGACCAAAGGACACCCGATATTTCGCGCCCAATATCTCATGAACCGAAAAGCTCTAGAACGCTGTAAAACTACGCAATCAAAGCAGAGATCTTGTGCTTTCTTGTACACCAATCAGCTCGCAATTTGATTTAGAAAAATGCCGCCAATCGGACGACGAACCCTGCAACTATTTTGGAACAGAG